TTGGAGTATTCTGTACCTTTCTTTAGAACAGATCCATATGCCAAAATACAAAGGATAATTGAAATTATAAAGGCTTCAACCTCCAAGGTGATTGTTACTTTCCTTTCCCGTCCAGATTTGAATGTGCTGCTACGAGAGTTTTCCTACCATAACTTGTCTGGGTATCAGTGGGTAGGCACTGAGTCTTGGATATTTGATTCACAAACTGCAGAAATGGACATACATCACATACTGGATGGTGCCATAGGTCTTTCCATTCCCATAGCACATGTCAGTGGCCTAAGAAATTTCATACTGACTGAGAAGCCACTGAATTCGTCTAATAATGAACTGTTTACCGAGTTCTGGGAGACACTATTTAGTTGTAAGTTCAAGGACTTGAAGTCATCAGCAGACATTCAGAGAGAGTGTACTGGACATGAAGATGTGACTGGAGTTCAAAATAGCTTCATTGACATGTCTCTCATGCCTATCTTTAACAATGTCTACAAAGGAGTGTATGCAGTGGCCCATGCACTTCACAATATCCTCAGTTGTAACAAAACATGTAACAAAAATGTGCAGCTAGATCCATTCATGGTAAGCTTTTTAATTGCTTAAATTATATTTTTCATATTAAGTCACATTGACAAGAAAATAGTTTTAATTTAAAGAAATGGTTTCTTTCATATTCTTCAGCCAGTCCGTTTTCAGCATATCTGTCAAAACTAATTTAGCTATGTCATATGTCTTAGATTCTACAACACATACGAAAGAGTCACTTCACAACAAAGGAAGGAGATGAGGTTTATTTTAATGAGAATGGAGATCCAGCAGCAAAGTATGACATTATTAACTGGCAGCCAAGAAAAAATGGAATTGCGGAGTTTGTAACAGTTGGTCTGTATGATACATCATTAGCTGTAGAAAAACAGCTACATCTGCAAAGCAAGGCTTTAATTTGGGCAAGAAACTCAAAGCAGGTACGCTGCGATACATTTTTCCCTTCTATTTTACTTTTAACATATCAGTTTGTATTTAAATTATTTTGCATTATTATTGCCATTATTTTAATGCTTCAATTTTAATAAATTGCTTAAAATTCATGCAGGTGCCTTTGTCAGTTTGCAGTGAGAAATGTCCCCAAGGAACACGCAAGGTTCTCCAGAAAGGAAGGCCTGTTTGCTGCTATGACTGTATAAGATGTGCAGAGGGAGAAATCAGCAACGTTACAGGTGTGGTGATATTTTTTTAAGGCTTTTTGCATTTCATTGGCAAGTTATTGTGAGTTATAAATACTTCCAACACATGTTAGAAGCTCATTGGAGAATTTCTGTTCTTAAAATTAAATAATTTGTTTATATTTACTGCAGATAACATCAGCATCCAGATTGCCTTCTTAAACTATGAACAGTAAAGCCACATATAGAAATGAAAATTAAATCCCATCTTTACCATATATTACATGTTGAATTTTTATTATATTTATTTTCATTTGTAGAAAGATAAAGACATGATCAAGAACACAGTTCCAGTTTGTAGCTCTATATGAACAGTTAATAAGGAATGTTTGCGTGGTTTTCAGACCATTTGTCAAAAAATATAGAAAGGAAAGAGGCTTTAAGTTGGGCATTGTTTTGGTTGGTGGTTTTGGATTTCTGCAAAGGTTCTTATACACAGCCAGTTTGCTGGTATTTTAACACTGTGATGCTGCACTGTCAAAATAAGGACTCATGCCTTATAATAATCCAATACAACCAAAATAATAAAACAACGTATAAAGGAGTAACAACAACAAAGTGAAAATTATAAATATTACACATAATCAACATTCATAATAAAAACACAGTCTTCTGTTTAGAGTAATCTTGAGTTCAGTGTACAGTGTGGATATGGTTATACAGTAAAAACCTCTTTAGCTATCAATATGAATATGGTATAGGGTGAAGTGGAAACCATCCATCCATTTTCTGGTGCTCATCCAGGTCTCAGTCGTGAATTTGAATTGAAAAATAAAGTGAGATAAAAATTTCTGACATCAAATCAAATCAAAATGTATTTATATAGCACATATTAAAAACAACAATGTTGACCATAGTGCTTCACAGTCAGTAAAAGCATGAGACAATTGAGACAAAACAATAAAACAGGACAACAAACAATAGGTAACAACACAACAAGCTAGAACAGCCAACTAGTTAGAATCAAAAGCCAAAGTAAAAAGATGGGTTTTAAGATAAGATTTAAAAGACTGGATAGACTCGGCGGTACGAATATGAACAGGGAGGTTATTCCAGAGTCTAGGTGCCATGGTTGCAAAGGCCCGATCACCTGTCGACTTAAGTCGAGACCTAGGTTGAGCATGTGATTGGACAATCTAAGTGCTCTGTTGGGATTGTATAAGTGGAGTAGTTCAGAAAGATGAACTATGTGAAGAAATCAAAAAGTTGTCTGTGCTAAATTGCATAAGTTCACTTTATTTTCTGTATTTATTTTGGCGCCTTACAAAATCATATTTATACATACAGTAGTCCACTTTCTTACTGTGACATAATAATTCTTGTTTAGGCCTCTCAATCGTAGCTGGTGTTTGTTGTTGATGGAAAATAATATTGAGTTCATTTTTTTCTCCTCTCAATAACAGAAATGAGGTCCCAAAATAGTATTTGAGGTTGTTTTCATTGCCAATTTTTATATCCAAAAAACAGAGGTGTATGAAGAGCTTCAGGAATTTGTATATGAACATTTCTACTTCTGTGCTCCTTGGAAAGAAATTATAACATTATGCACTTTGCTTTAAAATGGAAACAAAAAATATGCCATAATCACAAGAGCTATTGAACACTTTAAATGTCTCATTTGTCCATCCTCACCAAACCACAAAACAGTGTAGCAGTCACTGAGTATATTTGTTGGTTATCATCTTCTGACTGTACAGTACCAGTAGAATATTACATGGATGTTGTTGTAGATGCAAATGCAGGCATAAACAATTATACTCAGTAAGAGTAACATCTACTTCAATATTAATTTCCAGATTCTGTCACCTGTGTGAGATGTCTACCTGAGTTTTGGTCAAATGAAAGAAGAGATGCCTGTATAAAGAAGGAAGCAGTGTTTCTATCACATGAAGACATTATGGGTGCACTGCTCACTGCAGCATCTTTATTCGGAGCATGCATGACGATTGGTGTGATTCTTATTTTCTTCAAGTACAGGAAAACTCCTATTGTCAGGGCAAACAACTCTGAACTGAGCTTCCTGCTGCTCTTCTCCTTAATTCTGTGTTTTCTGTGTTCTCTGACCTTCATTGGTCAGCCCTCTGATTGGTCCTGTATGCTCCGGCATGTAGCATTTGGCATCACCTTTGTCCTTTGTATCTCTTGTCTTCTGGGAAAAACTATGGTTGTTTTAATGGCCTTCAGAGCTACACGTCCAGGTAGTAATGTTAAAAAATGGTTTGGGCAGACACAGCAGAGACTCTGTGTTACGGCATTTACTCTTATTCAAGTTAACATATGTATCATTTGGTTAACATTTTCTCCTCCTTTTCCATTTAAGAATTTTAAGGAAATTAAAGACAAGATCACATTGGAGTGTGCTCTTGGCTCAGTTGTGGGCTTTTGGGCTGTGCTTGGTTATATAGGACTTCTGGCTATTTTATGTTTTATTTTTGCATTTTTAGCTCGAAAGCTCCCCGATAATTTCAACGAAGCCAAGTTTATCACTTTCAGCATGCTGATATTCTGTGCAGTATGGATTACATTTATCCCAGCATATGTCAGCTCTCCTGGTAAGTTCAGTGTTGCTGTAGAAATATTTGCTATACTTGCTTCCAGTTTTGGACTGCTAATTTGCATCTTCATACCCAAATGTTATATAATCCTAACGAAACCAGAGAAGAATACAAAGAAATACATGATGGGGAAGAAGGCACCAAATTCACTCTGAAAAATGAATGCGGTAAAATGGGATTTTAATTTGATCATTTATACATAATTAGTTGGTCACCATCCTGTCAGAATAGAAAGAAGCTGTCAGCAGGATGCACTCCAATTGATACTGTCTTTATAGAAACTACTTCTCCTTTGTGATGTGTTTTTATTACTTACTTTGCAACTTACCTAAACAACAGCAACAACAAAAACAACACAAAAAACATACCAAGTGACTGATAGCTAAAGGTTATTGAGTCATTTACACATTCATCATGACATGCTTTTATTTTGTTCTGTCAAACTCGGGAATGTTTTGATTTGAATAACATGCAATAAAATGCTGATAAAAACAGTAAGAGTATCTATTATTCTCTATCTTGTTTGTTCTCATTATCAACAGGCTTCCATGTATAACCATTGCTGACTGCAGCACAGTCTAACTTGATGACAGTAGTTGCTTTGCATTGTCTATGGATGTGTTTTATTCATGATTCTCAAAGAGCAGCTAGACACAGATACATAGCAAATGAAATCAGGAAAGATTAACTTTTTTCTCTTAATATTAATTGGTAACAGCAATAACAGTCAAGCTCTTCGTTGGTGTAAGATCAGAATGAAATACAATATATGGTACTTTAGAACATGAGTTGTTAGTGTAAACAAAAATTACAGTTAATAAAAAAAAAATCTGTTGGTGTTGAATGTCTAAAATACCTCTAAACTGCTGATCATGTACTCTTGCCTTTGCGTTGTGTTAGCTCTTCATCTCACATCTGGTACATTGTTGCTGATGCTGAATGGAATTTGTCTCCCAGGTAGATTGGCCCATTGTCAGTGACACAAAGTTTAGCTACTGAAGGTGGACATTAAACTCTACATGTATTAAGGGTAAGTTACTCCATGGAGCACTGCTCTAAAAAGAGTCATACTGCTCCTAGCAGTGGAAATGAATTTTATGTTTAAAAAAACAAGGATACTGTCCACTTTCACCTTCCATGTTTTAAGCAATAGGTGTTTCTTTTTTCTTGATGGCTTGCTGCACTGAAATGGGAGAATCCACTTGTTAACTGTAATGCTGAGTGTTGTATAGTACTTTATATATGAGGACTTTGTAGAGGAGAGGCTGTTTGCGTGGGTGAACCAGGGGTTCACTGGACCAACAGGTTAAAGCCAGATCTGATTTTTCCATGCTGGGTCAGTATACAAACCAAGCTGGCAGAGCAGATGTCCATTGGATGCAATCAGCAATATTTTATGCAATAAAATGCAGCTCATCCAAACAACATAACTGGTCATTTTACAGACTAATGAGAAAGTATCGAGTAGTGTAACAAATAACTTTAGCCTAGGTTACTCATTGAACGTTAAGGACATCTACACTGCCAGCTGATGTGACGCTTGGTTTTTCCACATGACTCAACGGCAAACACAGAACGGACTGTGTCAACTTCAACTTGTGGGTCTGGTGAACCACCGATGCAACTGACTCAAGCAAGTACTTATCCACACAACTGTCATTTGCAAAGTGATCTACAAACCCAAACATTACGGCCCACAGGTGGATTACCCCATTTCAGTGCATGTAGCAAAAAATTTAACACCAAACAACCAACCTAGTGACATCAGGTTCTGTACTGATACAAGATGGTGCTACACATGATGTAAAATCATTATACACTTTATCTTAAACCACACTTCAAAGACATTGTTAAATCCATGACAGTTTCTTAGAGTAGGGTTCAATGGTGTCAATTTTCCTTAGCATGTCATGTAAACTTCAGAATGAAATTAGTATCAGACTGATGACAGATCTTAATATCACATCTATGCATCACAGATGTGAAAGTGGAAGTGAATGGATGACCGTAACTTACTCTAAGAGTACTGTATAAACGTACTCTATAAAAGTATGTATTGGAAAATTATTTTTTTCTACATATTCATTTGTAATGAATTGTGATTTACATTGTTAATTCATATTTAAATGAACCTGTGTATATGCTTATTTTACATATATGAACCTACATTAAATGGCAAAGTTGGGCATGTCCCTCATTTTGCTGAAACTGGGAATGAACTCTCTCTATTCAGTTATTTCTTATGCTGCACCAAAAGGTATAAATACCAGAATAACTATTTCATCTTCATTACAGTACTCTAATGCCACTAAGTGGTTTAGCTCAAGAAATGACATCAACACAGAGATGGCATGAAAAGGGATGGGCACTTCTGCAACTGTTGTTGGTGGCATCTGCCTCTTATGCTGAGGAGCCAGTGTGCAGGCAGAGAGGAGATCCGGAGAACCCACTGCTATCTAAGAATGGGGATATTATATTGGGTGCTATCTTCTCTTTTCACGCAAGCTGGAAAGACAGAAAAGATTCCTACATGAACAAACCTCTGCCACTACAATGTATCAGGTAAATGACACACTACAAATCCATTTACATTTAAGGAATCAAAAGAAGAGTAAAATGTATTTTGATTTTCTCAGTTGTTTAAAGTCATTTTCATGAGAAATGCTTTTGTTTCTATTTAAACATTTATCCATAAATATTTGTGTCTGTTATAAGGAACACAATGCAATGCAAATTATTCATAATTGTTTGTCTCAATTAAGTTTAAATTTCAGAGATTTGCAGTTTGCCCAGGCTATGCTTTTTGCCATTGAGGAAATTAATAACAACACAGACCTACTGCCAGGAATCTCTGTGGGCTATAAAATCTATGATGATTGTGGATCTAATGCCAGAAGTGCAGGAGTTACCCTGGCTTTAGCTAATGGTAATGAAATTGTGTCTGTACCGTCAAAGACACCGTGTACCAGACCTGCACATGTTCAGGCCATTATAGGAGCGACCTCTTCTTCTACAACCATAGCAGTATCTACTGTCATCGGACCTTTTTTTATACCAGTGGTGGGTATTTTATATATTTAATCTTTTTTTAAAATCTTTGAATACTTTTAAAAATATTTTATTTTCTTAGATAAAAGCTTTGCCTAGTACATTTTATGTACTCAGTACTGAGTAGAATTGTTATTTTTGTATTTTTACAGTAATACTGAATCTTTTATTTTTAACCGTTTCATTTTTTTTTTCATCATGTGTCTTTTTCATTTATAAGTTTTTCATTTTTTATTCTAGATCAGCTACTTTGCCACATGTGCGTGTCTAAGTGACAAAACAAAGTACCCATCCTTCCTCAGAACAATACCCAGTGACTACTACCAGAGCAGAGCCCTGGCACATTTGGTCAAGTATTTTGGATGGACTTGGGTTGGAGCTATCAGAACCAACAGTGATTATGGAAATAATGGCATGGCCACATTCACAGAAACTGCACAGCAGCTGGGCATCTGTCTGGAGTATTCAGTATCTTTCTTTAGAACAGATCCATATTCCAAAATACAAAGGATAATTGACATTATAAAGGCTTCAACCTCCAAGGTTATTGTTACATTCCTTGCCCGTGCAGATTTTCATGTGCTGCTACGAGAGTTTTCGTATTATAACTTGTCTGGGTACCAGTGGGTAGGCAGTGAGACTTGGATATTTGATTCACGAACTGCAGAAATGGACACACATCACATACTGGATGGTGCAATAGGTCTTTCCATTCCTAAAGCACATGTCACTGGCCTGAGAGAGTTCGTACTGAATGAGAAGCCGCTGAATTCATCAAACAATGAACTGTTTATTGAGTTTTGGGAGACATTATTTAACTGTAGGTTTAGGCAGTCAGCGTCATCAGCAGACATTCAGAAAGAGTGTACTGGGCATGAAGATGTGACTGGAGTTCAAAATAGCTTCATTGACATGTCTCTCATGCCTCTCTTTAACAATGTCTACAAAGGAGTGTATGCAGTGGCCCATGCACTTCACAATATCCTCAGCTGTAATAAAACATGTAACAGAAATGTGCAGCTAGACCCATTCATGGTGAGATTTTTACTAATTTACATTACAATGTTCACATTAAGATACATTATTAAAAAGATCTTTTAGTTAAAAATATTTATAAGAATTTCATTTTGCAGTTCTTCTGTATATTTTTCAGTCAGTAGGTGTGCAAAATCTTTTTCATGCAATGAACTGTGTCATAACATGTTTCTTAGGTTCTGCAACACATACGAAAGATCCATTTCACAACTAAGGAAGGAGATGAGGTTCACTTTAACGAGAATGGAGATCCAGCAGCAAAGTATGATATTATAAACTGGCAGCCAAGAGAAAACGGCGTTGTGGAGTTTGTCACAGTTGGTCTTTATAATCCATCATTAGTTCCAGAAAAACAGCTAAATCTGCAAAACAAGTCTTTAATTTGGGCAAGAAACTCAAAGCAGGTAAGCTATCGTACAATTTCATTGTTTTTATGTTTTTGTTCTGTTTTTCATTTTATACATACGTACATACTTTGTTTATTTTGGTTTTGATGCGTCAAGATTAAGAGGGGCTTTTTTGACAAAGAACATCAAAGAGACATTTTTTTCTATGTCTATACACAGTTAAATTTTTTTGATCATGCAGGTGCCTTTGTCAGTTTGCAGTGAGAAATGTCCCCCAGGAACACGCAAAGTTCTCCAGAAAGGAAGGCCTGTTTGCTGCTATGACTGTATAAGATGTGCAGAGGGAGAAATCAGCAACGTTACAGGTGTGGTGATATTTCATTTTAACTTTGGTGTTTTGCAAAGCAATGCTACATATGTAGGAAGGCCATACAAGAACTATTTAATCATTTAGATTAATGTTTTCATTCAGAGATAATCTCCATCTAGAATGCCTGATTAAAATATTTGAAAATATTTAACTCATTGCCACAGATTAGTATATCTCCTTGCACTTTCTATTACAGCTTGGTTATAAAGTGATAACCACATAACATCAAAGTATTATCATGGTAGCAACATTGATTACAGTAAAGTAATATTATGCTGGAATTTATGTTATTGAATCATAAGGGCTCAAAAATTAGGTGTAATACTGTAGAAATACAGCTCAGTAATATAGTGGT